GAGTCAGAAAAAGAACGGAGCACTTATGGTGTTGATCCGTCGTCTAAACCAGACATGTTGTCAGTGTTACAAAGAACCTGTTCTGTTGCATGGCAGCGAATCTTTCAATGTCAGTGAACAAATTTGGAAGAATTTGGAAGCAAGAGAGATGTGGTTTCTGAGACGAATGTTACAAATTACCTTGGATGGCCAGAGTAACTAACAACGATTGCTTGAAAGAAGCTGATGAAAGTAGATTTCTATATACAACAATAAGAAAAAGACAAACACTGTTCTTTGGCCACATAATGAGAAGAGAGACATTGGAGGACATCGTGACAACTGGAACGATCAGTGGGGAAAGAGGGTATAGGCAGACCAAGAGAGATGATGCTGGATGGGCTGGCATGGAGGGATGTCATCAAGAGAGCTGTTCCAGGCAACCAGGGATCGTGATCTGTGGAGACGTAAGAGCGCCTACGCCATTTGGCAGGGCACATGATGATGTTGATGAGCTTCAAAAAAAAATATATATATATATATATATATATATATATATATATTATATATATATATATATATATATATATGTATATATATATAAATATATATATATATGGTAATATATATATAAATATATATATATAATATATATATAATTTATATATATACTATATATATATATATGAGTGTGTGTGGTGTATGTGCGAGTGTGTATGTGGACGAAATTAATGTCCACCGCCCTGTGACTAGGAAGCTTAACAAATAAGGGAAGGGACACATACACACAAACATACAGAGACACACACACCCACGCAGACACACACACTCACGCGCGCGCGCACACACACACACACGCAAGAACATCCAAGCCTTTCAGCAGCAGCCTTTATTGACAAAAACACCACAGCAACACGAGGTAAGAACATCCTAAGCATCAGGGTGGTGCTTGAATACCTCATGTGCAGTCTCCACAAGGGAAGCTGGCTACAGTGTATCTGCACTACTGTCTTCGGAGCGATAGATGTTCATGTATTTCTTTAGTGGCCAGGGTACTCTCCTACTTTTTTTTTTATGTGTGTGTTTGTCGATAAAGGCTTCTGTAGAAAGTTTCGATTATTAATGTTTTGCCCCCCCCCCCCCCCCCCCCCTTTTCTCTTTTTTTTCGTTAAGTTTTTTTTTTTTTTTTTTTTTTGCAGATCATCATCGTCATCATCATCATCATAAACCACTTCTGCCGTCAAGTAGCGTGGGGAGAAATATTTTGTAATCCAATGTGCACGTTGGCTGCCACTGGCTACTGTCATGCTGTGAAGGCGTATGATGTCGATGCAATATTTTTGTGGCCGTCCTCTTGCTGTTGTAGCTGATCTTCTGAGATGTAGTGCTTGTGATGGTATTTGATCTTGCTGCTTCCTAACGAGATGGCCAAACCATTTGATCTGCTGTTTCTCGGTGATTCTAGTACATGGTGGCCTTCCCACAATCTATCTGACAGTAACATTATTCACTTCATCTCGGATGGGTACTTTGGCGTATGTTCTCAAGCATCTCATCTCGCAAGTGGTGATTTTGCTTTTAGATAGTGTCCATGTTTGGCACTGCTAGCTAAATGCTGGAATGAATATGCTGTTTATAATCTGTTTCTTTGTAGTTACGTTTTGATGTCTTCATAATGGTGACAGTTGGTATATAAGTGCACTTGCTTTCTGACATCTGGCTTCTTTTTCTCTGTCAATTCTGCCATCCTCCGTGGTCATACTTCCTAAAACTCCCCAACTTGATCCAGAGCAGAACTATTCAACTGTATTTGTAGTGGGCCAGGGGTTCTACTAACTTGCATTGTTTCGGTTTTGTTTGCATAGATCTTCATGTTGTTTTTACTGCCAATGTTGTCTTGCATTCTGTCTTCATCAGGGTAGAACAAGCACTGGTCGTCAGCAAATAGTAGTTCGTTTAATGTGGATGAGTCGGTTACTTCGTCTGATGTTTGTACTTCCTCGTGATTATAACGATATTTGTTGTCTTTATTAGAACTTGCTTCTTTTGATATTCTGTCTATATAAATGTTAAATATAAGTGTGGAGAGCACATATCCCTGCCTCACACCTGTGTTGACTATGAATCTGACTGGTGTGCCTTCTTGTGTTCTTACTGCTCTTTGGCTTGTGTAGCACATGGCTACGATGTTCTCTAGCAATTGTTCTTTAACTCCGTAGTTTTCGAGAACAGACCACAATTTGTTTTTAAATACTCTATCGAAATAATTCTTTTCTGTTTACCAAAAAAAAAAAAAAAAAAATATTTTGTTGGGTAAAATAGTCAGTGTCGGCTCTGTGGCTAAGTCGATGCGAACGCTTCGTAATGCCCGGGTGCCGGGTTCGATCCAGCTGCGGGCCATGCGCCTTGCGTTGGTTTCGACAGTGGTATCAGGTGCCAACAGAACTTAAAGCAATGGCAAACTACTGGACGTAAATTTGCCTACTGAAACCACACAACAGCCAGGGGCTGCTGGGGTTGG